AAAAAAAAAATCAAATATAGATAGATAGATAGATAGATAGATAGATAGATAGATAGTACAGGGTCTCACTACGCAGCTCAGACTTGTAGTGATCCTCCTGTTTTTCAGCCTCTCCAGCACTAGGATTACAGGTGAGCACCACCACACCCAGTGGCAGGCTCAGTGCCCCTGGGGGCAGGGCTGGTGCAGCAGGTGGAACTGTGGATTGAACTCCGGTCCCTGCACTTGCCTAAGCAGGTGCTTAGTCCACTGAGCCATCTCACCAGCCCCAATAAAAAATTTTAAAAGATCAGGCCATTGTGCTCCCACTGCTTAGAGTCCCACTCTCGCTCCATCAGGTGTGCCTCTTTTCCTACTTTTTCTTTGCTCAAACTCACTCTGCAAAGCCTGTTTCTTTTCCTATCTTTAATAAAATTTTGCTATTTTTAAAATTAAAACTAAATAGAATAACATAACAAAAAATAAAAATAAATATGTGTGGCAGGTGTGGTAGCCCATGCCTGTCATCCCAGCACTCAGGAGGCTGAGGCAGGAGGATGACCATGAGTTCGAAGCCAGCCTGGGTCACATAAGTGAGTACAAGCCAACCTGAGACCCTGCCTCAACAACAAAAAACCATGGTGGCTTAGGCAAACTAGTAAATTCCTCTGACTCTCCTGTGTCCCACTCTGTAAAGTGGACTCAAAAAAGGTCACCTGTGCTAAGATCATGTGTGCAGTTTCTGCGCAAATGCCAGGCATCTCGTGACAGCCACTTCGGAGAAGCTGAGTCACCAATGATTAGGGTCACACAGTTCAACAGCAAGGCATTCAGGCACCATGCTGCAGGATTGTCAATTTACCGATGGGGAAACTGAGGCCCAACAGGTGAACAGATTGTCCAGGGTCTGCAGGGCTGGAGGGCTCCCTGTGCATCTCTGTTCCACAGCCCGGCTGCAAGGCACCTGGGCCCAGGGCCCACGTGATGGTGCTGCTGCCACTTACCTTTGAGGCCAGGGACAAGGATCTGCACTGAGCAGGCATCGTCCATGGCCGGCTGGGGACAAGCAGGTGGTGGCAGCCACAGGAAGGCCAGACTGAGCAGCAGGCCTGCGAGAGCCAGGTCCCTCCTCATTGTGGGCACCGGCAGGACATTGATTCCTGGGGGCGAGGGGCGACACGGACACACAGAGCAGCAGCGTGGGAAGGCAGGCAGAACTGCCACTGTCACCACCACCCTGCGCTCGCCCCCCTGCAGGGCCCTCATGGCCAACACACACACACTCCCTTCCTGAGCTGCTGACTGTCCTCCAGAGGGGTCACTGGGGACGGGTGACCCTGTGTGGCCTCAGACAAGCACAGGCACTGTGTGCGGAACACCCACTCACCCAGCTGAGGAGAGCAGGAAGGGGCAGAAGAGAAGGAATTTAAAGAGAATTAAAATAGCCAATGAGCCAGGCATGGTGATATACCTGTAATCCCAGCACTCAGGAGGCTGAGACAGGAGGATCACTTCAAGTTTGAGACCAGCCTGGGCTACAAAGTGAGCTCAAGGCCAGGCTGAACTGCATAGAGAGACCCTGTCTCAAAGAGATCCCCTCCCCCCCAAAAAAAAAAAAACAGCTATGGTGGCGCACACCTGTAATCCCAGCATTTTCAAGGCTGAGGCAAGAGGATCTCGAAAAGTTCCAGGCCACCCTGGGTTACATAGTGAGCCCAAAGCTACCTTGGACTATATAGGAAGACCTTGTCTCAAAAAAAAAGAAAAAGGAAAAAAGTTAAAGTGTTATGTACATGCAGAGATCCCCATGTGCAGCAAATATGCACTAATAAAATTAACAATTAAAAAGAAACCACTGGAAGGGATGGGCCAGCCCCCAACCCCACCCCCAAGAGCCCTGACCCCTGTGGGCTCCTTGCGCCTTCTGGGGAGGAATTCGGTTCTGTAAACGGAGGAGGGCAGTGCACCCAGCGTCTCCTTAAGAACAACATCCTTATCTCCAGCCTGGGTGGAAAAGGCCCGCTGTGGGGGAGGGGATTAGCCGTGGAATTCAGAGCAGAAATGTGCTCTTCGGCAGGAGCAGCAGTGCCCCTCCTGCAGTGCTGCGGGTTTGTTGGCTACCTAGAACAGGGCTGGCATGGAGCAGAGGGCAGCTACCTCGGGAGCCCTACCCTGCAGGTCGGGGAAGGCTGGGCTCCCGGCAAAGCTGCCACCTACCCCTCTATGGCCTGCCCTGCTCCTTTTTTCTATCTCTTTAAATTTTGCATTTTGAGACAAGATCTCACTAATAAACTGCCTAGCCTGGGCTTGAATTTACTACCCTCCTGCCTCAGCCTCCCAAAGTGCTGGGATTACAGGCATGCACCTCCACACCTGGGGGATGTCTACCCACAGCACACTGGCTTCTCTGCGTGGACCACAGTAAGAAGACGCCTCTCCCCGCTTCTCTTTTCCACAGCTTGAATCACACGGTAGGCCTGTCTCTCCTGCACAGGTTGCTCAGAATTGCAGATAGGATGCTGTAGCCGCGAGGGTTTGGGGTGCTGCCCCAGCCCTGTCCAGTGGAAAACCCGGCTGTCCCAGCTCCCCAGGGCTGCACAGTGCCCGGGCTTACAGTGCACCATTTACACGTGGGGCTACTGCACTGCTTCCATCTAATAGGACAGCTGGTTTGTGGGGCAAGGGGTCCAGGCAGGACTGGCCGGCCCTGCTCATCCGCGCCCTCCCATGACTCTGCCCACCACCACCGCCCGCCCGGAGCTGGCGCAGGACCTCCACCTGCTCACTCTGTAGCTGCTGAGCTCGCTGTGCTCATGGGCACCACCCCTGCCTGCCTGAATGCAAGAACAAGGGCCCAACCCAGTGGAGTCCCCCCTCCCACCACTGTTTTCTACCTGGTGCACGCTAGGCGAGGGGACTTCCCGACCCCGACCGCTGTCCTTCCGTTGCTGGCCTGCGGGGACACTGCGCTGCAGAGCAGCATGGCTGCTATTTAGAGGCCAGCAGCCGGGTCCAGCACTGGGAGCCCTGCCTGCTGCCAGAGCCTGCTTATCTGCAGCCGCTTCCTGTCGGAACTCAGTCCTGCCGCCGGCCGGCCAGGGAGTGTGGGAATGCAGCCGGGACACGCTTTCTTGGTTCTCTTTCACCTTTCTTTCCTTTTTTTTTTTTTTTTGGCATTTTTCTGTGGCACCAGGGCCTTCACACAGAGCTCCATCCCTGCGCCTCCTTATAGGAGACAAAAACTCAAACTTGGAGGGTTTTGGGGGTTTTTTTTGGAGGCACTGGGGATTGATCTCAGGCCCTTGTGCTTGCCAGGCAAATGCTTATACTACCTAACCAGCTCCCCGGCCCCAACAACTTGAACTTGTGATCTTCCTGTCCAGTGCAGGGATTACAGGACCAACCATCATGCCTGGGTTTTTCTCTTCCTCTTTCTTTCCCAGCTTTGGGGAGAACCCAGGGTCTCACACATGCTAGTCAAACACCCTACCCTAGAGCTAGGTCACTAGCCCCCTCCCCGCCCTACTTTGGGTTTTAGAAACAGATTCTTGATAGTTCTTTTTTTTTTTTTTTTTTTTTTTTTGGTACCAGGGATTGAACTCAGGACCCTACACTTGCCAGGCAGGCCCTTATTCTACTGAGCTATCTCCCCAGTCCCTAGTCTTGCTACGTAGTTCAGGCTGGCCTGGAACTCACTATATAGCCAGCCCAGGCTGGCCTCATACCTGTGGCAAGCCTCCTGCCTCAGCCTCCCCAGTGCTGGGATTACAGGTATGTGCTATGCCTGGCTGACATTTTTAGTAAGTGCATGCACTATAGAAATTCATAAGCATAAAAAAGTAATAACGATCGGCCAGGATCAGGTGAGACAGCCGTAAAAGAAGCAGACACGCTTCCTTTCCTTCTTTCCTTTATACATTTTCCTTGAAAAGGTGACAAGTGCCTGCCACGGTTTGTGGAGACCTGGCACACCGTGAGGCCAAGCTCACCCAGCGCTTGGGTTCCCATAACGGGGGTGTGCTCCAGAGGTGTCCTCTTACCCACGGGATGCATACAAGCCAGCACATGGGAGGGCTGGGGTGCAGCTCAGCGGTAAGTTCCTGGGTTGCCTCCTGAGTATTTCTAGGATTCAGCAACTGCAATACTGGACATTTTCCCAGAGAAATGAAAAATCACGTTCATGCACAGAGCTGTCCACAGGTGCTTCTAGCCACTTTACAGTCGCCCAAGGCAGGAAGCAGCTCTGGTGTCCTTCGACAGAACGGTGAAAACTATGAAACACTGAGGCTGTGAGCTGCAACTCAGCCTCAGAAAGGAGCAAAACCTGACTGTAGGTGCACAGCTGTAACTCTCCAGGGACTCTGCTGTGGGGAGCCCCACCCAAAGCTTTCTTTCTGTTGGGCTCCCTGGTGTTCTGGCTTCTATCTAGCTGGCCCTCCCCCAAGCCTCAGGCTCTCGTAGGTGGGGCTCCGTGTTTTACTTTTCAAGTGATGCTCTTGAGAGGTGGTTGGCAGAACCACAGACTCATCCCAGCCCCGGAGGGTGGGTTCAAAGCTGCATGTGCCATAGGGACAGGGCAGAGCAGAGAGCTAGGTCTCTCCTGTAGCTGCATCCCTCCTTCCAGGTTGTGCTGCTTCCTATCTGTCGCGCCCTGAGGGATTTCTCTGCTTTAGTCCCAGAAGCAGCAGCAGCCTCTGCCAGCACTGGTTGTTTCGCTGATTTACAGAAATCCACATGTGGAGATGTGTATTTCCTCCACTGCATCTTCATGGTCTCTGGTGTGGGGCTGGGTGGCCATCCCAGGCCATCTGCTCCTCTCACCTTCCCAACACAGTGGTGCCCACAGTGGTTGTGCAGGTGAGCTGGACACAACCACCAAAGCCCACCCATCCCACCACCCACAGCGCAACATGAGGCCCCAGATGAGTTGAGAATGTGCCAAGACTCACTGCCAAGTTTGGACACAGAGGGCAAAATCTGGGCCAGGTTAGGAGCCTGTCAAATCAAAAGCATGCAGTGCAGGCACTCGATGGGAGGACTACTCTGCCCTGAAGCACACACTGCCACTCGCAGAGACCTCTGGATACCACGTTGAGTGAACCAGGATCCAAGGGCAATTGCCCCACGTTCTCTGTGTAACACAGAATCCAACAAGGTTGATGGGTGGAGGACAAGGGAGTTGGATAAATGCATTTAGAACCCGCATGACAGCTAAGGGATGGGGTGAGATAGGAAAGGACCAAAACGATGCTTATGCAGTGGAGGGCTTTTCAACAAGCTTAAGAAAGGGACTCTTCAACAGCTGGCTGCCCAGAGCAGGCCAAGAACGCATTCCAGTGGGTGACCCAGCACCTCAGCCAGAGTAGCTCCCTGGCCCTCCCTTTGTAAAAGTGGGGGCCTCTCCTGCCTGTACTGGCTGACCCTGTCATTTCCGGGGAGTATTTACATTTCTTGGAGATAAGCGGGAAACCTCCCTGGCAGTCAGCCTGGGTGGACATGCGCCTGCAGGACTCGACCCTACGTCCACCAGGGCATTACCCTGGCTGAGCAGTGCTTTGCCCATCCCACCTGCTCCTCAGACACCAGGCCAACTCTGAGGCTTGCAGGCTACTTTCAAGGTGCTGATAAACAATGTCTCCAAGCCAAGACTGCTTTATCCCTCTGAGACCCTTTCAGGTCGAAAGGCCCCAAGTCTCCTCCAGCACAGGAATGCAGAGCACACTGGGGAACCAGCATGCTCGAGGCTGGCCTCACTCCTAGTAAGCCTCCTGCACCTAGCGCTGACCAAGCTGCCACAAAGTATTGAACTGCTCCACTAAAGCCAATATTTTTGTGAAGATTTTGGTCTTGTGAGTACTTTTATCCATTTAAAGCTCCTAGCTGGGCGTGGCAGCATGTGCCTGCCACCCCAGCACCCTGGGGGCCAAGGCAGGATGACTGCCTCAACCAACCCTGGCTGGGGGACCACGTCCAAAGAAAGGTAGGACTGGCCTCATGAAGTGCTGAGACTGTGCCGCTCCGACTGTACCACACGCCAGCCCCGGCCCCTCCTTGCCCCTCCTCGCCTGCCCTGCTCCGCTGGCACCAAGCGTGGGCAAGGTTGCCCAAGACGGGTTTAGAAAAGCACACCAGAGCGCTATGAACGATAATTTTATTTTAGCATTTACAACTTCTTACAACTGAAACTCTGGGAATTCAAAATTAACGTCCTTGCCCGTGAGCTTCTTATAGACACCAGAGAATGTCTCGACCTGGAAAAGGACAAAGGGAAAGTCAGCCACAGGACCTGCAAGCACGTGTGCACCTCACAACCTGCAATCTGAAGCCTTGCTCCTGGTCACAACTGGGGACAGTGACACTGCCCCCTCCCCCCACCCACAGCATGCCATCTCTGAGTGCCTCTCAATCCCAAGAAAGCAAAGGCTAGAGGAGGCCTAGGGCCCTGGTTACCTTGTGCTCCACATTGTTCTGCTGGGCCTTGTCCAGGTGCACCTTAATGAGCCGGCTGCCGTCCAGCTTCACGCGGATCCTCTTGCCCACGATCTCGCTGGGGAAGACGAGGTCCTCCAGGATGGCGTCATGCACTGCGGTCAGCGTGCGGCTGAAAGGACAGTGACACGTGAGGTGACCCAGGGGCACCCCCTGGGGTGCAAGCACCAAAACAAAAGCCCCACAGGTGCATGACTAACCCCAGCACTCAGGGAAGCCCAGGCAGAAGGGCTGCTGCAATGTGGAATCCATCCTGGTATATAAAAGTAGACCCTGTCTCAACTCCCTGCCCCTGAAAAAACCCACAAGAACAGGTGACCTGCTAAGCAGCCCCTAGGGGCTCGGCTCTTCCTGCAAGATGCCAACATACTCCTTGCCCACTATGACCAATGGAGACACCAACTATGACATCTTATAACACTGCCCAGGCGGGAGGCTGTGCCCAGCTTACTGCACCAACAGCAGGGACGCACGGGAGGCACAGCTCAGCCTGCTGCCCATGGCAGACAGGGGGCCAAAGGCCAAAAGCGTTTACTGCACCTGGCCTAAAACACAGCCCAGCACCCCAGGTATGAGCTGTCTCTCCTGGGGCCTGCACCCAACACCCCAAGAGTACTGTAACCTGCACAGCATTAGCCCAGGAGAAGACCCAAATTCACACCCGAAGTCCAGGCTCTCTTTGACACCAGTCACATACAGGCCACCCTCAAGTCAAATAATCCTACCAGAGCCTAGAAGGAAGTAACTCCGGCCTCCTGGGTCCCTACTACACATGCCCCCAAAGCATCAGGTGCAAGTGGAGAGGTGGTTCTCAGTCTAAGTCTTATCCCACACAGCAAGTAGCAAAGACCAAGTCCTGGTCGTTCATACTTCCAGTCATACTTCAGCCTGGGAGACACACCCATGGCTTGTGCTGTGCCATTGAGCTGCACACCCTGCACCAGGACGGCCGCTAGGGATGCGAGCTGGATGGAATGCGCTTCTCCAAACCAGGCAGATCCGCCCAGAGCACCGGCAGACAGCTCAGTTCCGCTCATCTGCACGCCCCGTGCTAGGGGTTCGCAAGTGTGCAGAGCAGCCAGTGACGGCTCGCAAGCAGGGCAGACCCATGGCTGTCCTTAGGGTCAACACTTAGCCCCCAACGCTACCCAAGGCAGCAGCAGCAGCAGCAGCAGCAGCAGCAGCAGCAGCAGCAGCAGCAATGTTAGTCTGATGGCAACCACAGCCCACAGGGACTACAGAAAAGCAGGATCCCTGCCACGACCAGAGCCACAGGAGGCAAGCAGAGCCACAGGGACAGAGACCGGAAAGCGGAAGCATGTTGGCAAGCCGAGCAGCGCTGTCCCAGCTACCACAGGCGCACAGCGGACGGCAGCAGCACCACACCTGCAGCAGGGCAGACCCTGCACTTCACCTTGACTCCTGAGCAGCTCCTCTCAAAGTCACAGTAAGCCTTACACACTCCTGCCACCTGCAGCCTGCAGCCTGCAGACGAGCTCACGGCGCCACACCGTCCTTTACTCATAGGATACCCGACACTCTCAGGGCATGGAGGAACATGTCTTCCTACCTCCCTGATTTTCTGAGCAGGCCTGACTTTACACACTTCTCAGCACTGCTACAGTCAACTGAAAGAAGCCATCTCTTCAAGCCTCAGGTCTGCTTTTGCACCTACTAAAGTTAATAATGGTAAAACCAGGAAAATCGAAATTTCTCACCTTTAACCCCCAACGCAAATAAAATATAAAACAAACCCCAGCTCACCTCAAAGTCTAATAAACTTATCAAGAGCAAGAACATGATTTCCTTCTGCTATTTTATCCTTTGACCAATTAATGGCTGGCACTGGGCTCCGTGAATGCACTGAAATCCTCCTCTGGATGAGCCGGAAGGCCACAACATGGCATGCACTGAGCCCGCCCAGGAGCGGCACGAGCACGCACACATTCGAGACTCACCTTCGGGGACGCTTTTGCTTATTTTTCGTGCGGCTTTTTCGAGTTGGCTTGGGCAGAATTCTCCTCTGTAAGGTAAAAGTTGTCATGTAAAAAAGTAAAATGACCTTAGATCAACAGAAGGCTAAATGTCCAAACTGCATAAGAACACAATTAAGTTCAACTGTGATATCCCAAACATCCTATCTTTTCAAAACATTCAAAAAGGATGAGTTACTCAAAGGGCACTAAAGTGCATCCTGACCCAGAACACAGCCTAAGACTATTCCCAGGACTCAGTCGCAATGCCAGACCAGAAGTCAGAACACCACTCCTGCACAGGAGACCTCGGCCTCCCTGCACTTCACCCACCCTGGACTGCAGAGCTTCTGAGCCCAGAAGAGCAGTCTGTCCACAGAACCTGAGCTACTGAGCACTTGGACCACGGGGCAGTGGCCCCTGCCACATCCGTGGCACTTTGAATATTGTACAGCCACCACTGGTGATGCTCAGAGGATGCACTTTATCTACCTCATGAAAAGTGCAAGTTTCCCTGCAGCCTCTACCACGAGAGCCAGCTACTTTCCCAGTGCCCCCCAGCAGCAGGCCAGCTACCTGTGCAATGAAGACCACATGCTTTCCGCTGAATTTCTTCTCCAGCTCTCGTACTAGCCGGACCTGGATTTTCTGGAAAGATTTCAGCTGGGGAACTGGGACAAAAATGATGATTGCTTTCCGACCACCACCAACCTCGATTTCCTGAGGGGGAAAAAAAACCCACTCGTAAAACTTCACAGCCTTCGTTATTCCCACTTAAGTACGACCCCACACTGCTGTTCAAAACATGGGCAGTCACAAACCAGGATGTCAGTCACTATGAGCCTTTAAACATCACCCTGCTAAGGTGGAGACACGGCCACACGTCCAGGGCCCATGTGTTGAAACAGATTACTCAGTGGGAGGTATGGGAGTGAAAACCGCACTGACCCCTATAAAGAGATGGAGCCTAGGGAAGGGAGACAGACAGACACCTGGCCTGCCTGCCTCTGCCCAGATGCCACTACCTCAGGACTCACAGCTAGGCACCATCAAGGACGTCCCCTCACAACCTATGCCCTCCAGAACCAAGACGCAGGATAAACCTTTACTTACAGTCCCCTAGACTGCAGCGAGACAGGCAACACGAAGGGCACGCATCCCACTATTACGTTTTCACTGCTGAGTAGGGCAGCTGTATTGTCCTACTGCCCCAGCTGCAGAGACAACTGGCCAAGACCCTAGGAAGGGTCTGGATGTGGGAGTCCACGCCCATAATGCCCACACTACAGAGGCTGAGACAAGATGATGCCACGAGTTCTAGGCCCACCTGAGCTGCACAGCAAGTCCCTGTCTCAAAAACCACCTAACAGATACATTGTTCTTCATGTGGAAGGGGGAACGCGTGGAGGAGTGGAGGGTTCTGGCTTTATTTCTGACAAGGTCTGTTCAGCTCGAGCTGAACATGGCAAGAGCCTACGGGTATGCAACGCCACGCCTTACTAAGGAGATACAGAAAATGTAAGCGACTGCTTCCGAACGTTAAGGCTACAGTCATGTTGGAGGTGATGGGGATTGGACCGGGAGGTGCAAACTTCATCGCACGTCTCGCTCCTTTTGCATCGCAGCTTACCTTGGCCGCAGTGATGTTGAGCTCGCGCAGCTGCGCCTTGAGGTCTGAGTTCATCTCCAACTCCAGCAGGGCCTGCGAGATGCCGGACTCGAACTCGTCCGGCTTCTCGCCGTTGGGCTTCACGATCTTGGCGCTCGAGCTGAACATGGCGAGAGCCTGCAAACGGAGCGCGGGGTCAGCCGCCCGGCCGCCCTCCCGACAGCCCCACGGGGGCCATCGATGTGCGCCAAACCGGTAATCCCAAGCATCTCGACCTGAGCGATGGGCCCGGCGCCCAGGACGACCCAACAAGCTCTACGAGCCCCGAAACCAGCAGAAAAGCGCGGGACAGTGAAGGCCGCGCAACCTACCTTGCGGAGCACCGGCTTAGGAAGAGGCCCAGCTCTCGCGAGAGTTCGTCATATCCCAGAGGAAGGGGCGGGAAAGGGGGCGGAAACAGGAAGAGCCGTTGAGAAAGTTTCCGGTCCCCGGAAGTGTGTCCGGAGAACCGGTGTGTAGGTCGCGCTTGTCCGTAGGAGAACTTGGTGGGGTTTGCTTCTCGAGTGCTCTCAGCGCTTTGGTTCTCATACTCGGTTCCAGAAAACACTTGGTTGGAGGGGTCTCTGCTTTGGCAAGTGAACAAGCACTACAAAACTAACTCTGGCCACCTGATAAAATGGGCCTTTTTTGTTTTGATTTTTTTTTCTTCCTTTTTTATTGTGAAGAGGAAAAAAACTAAAAGAACAAGTATAAAGACTAACAAAGCAACGCAAAATAGTAAAAAAAAAAAAAAAAAAAAGGTGCAGAATTTCAAAACAATAGAAAATTAACAATGGTTGTTGTATTACATATTGTTAACCAAATTTGTTGCTCATATTTGCAGATATAGGCACACAAGTTTCATCAAACAATTAAACATTAACTCTTTCAGTAAACCGTATTGTTTTCCTTGTCCTTTTTACTTTTTAATTTATTTAAAGAGATTATGGCAATTTTTTTTTTTTAGCAGTACCGGGCATTGAACTCAAGGCCTTGCGCTTGTCAGCCAGGCGCTTATTCTACTGACCTATCTCCTCAGCCCCCAAGTATGGAAATAATAGAAAAGCTGGGGATAAAGCTCAGCAGCATAAGTGCCTCTCTGGCAAATGCGAGGTCCCAAGTGCAATCCCCTTGATTTGTTTTTTGAGAAAGTGTCTAAACCAGGCATGGTAGTGCACACTGGTAATCCCAGGACTCGGGAAGCTAAGGCAAGAGGATCGCTGTGAGTTGAGGCCAGCCTGGGCGGTCTAAGCAAGTTCTAGACCAGCCTGCACTAGATAGTGAGCGCCTTCCGCCCTAATCCCAAAAAGCCAAAGCCTTGGTGGGTAGTTCGGGCTGACCTTGAAAGTACTATGTAGCCTAGGCTGGTGTCTAGCTGAGGACATCCTCGTGCCTCCTCAGCCTCCCAAGTGCTGGGATTACTGGCATGTACCATCATGCCTGAGGGTGGGGGGCTGGGGGGTGAGGAAACAGGATTTTTAAAGCTAACTTGTAAGAAAAAAAAAACCAATATTTTAAAAAGAGAAAAATAAGATTTGACAATGAAAATAGATAATATATCAATCAGTTGGTCAGATATTGTTTTAAAAATCTGTAATGTGTATGTTACCCAGTCTCCATCTTTGCTTTTGTCTTTCTTGCTCTTGTTTTTACTCTTCAAAATAAAAGAAAATTATTTTAAAAATAAAAACATTTTAAAAATTTTACCAAGCTAACTTGTCTGACATGCAGGTATTGTCTTGTAATCCTCACTGCTTGGGAGGCTGAGACAGGAGAATGGCAAGTTGGAACCCTGCCTGCACAACTTGGGAGACCCTGTCTTAAAATAAGAAAAGGGATGGGGACTTCTATCAGTACTAGAGCTTTTTCCCAGTATGTGTGGGCCCTGGCTTCAAGTCCCAGTATTGAAAAAGCGAACAAATGCAAAAAGTTTACATAGGGCCAGGGATATAGCTCAGTGGCATAAGCACCTGCCTGACAAGCGCAAGGTCCCAAGTTTGATCCCTGACAACCCCCCCCCAAAAAAAAAGTTAATACTGAGCACACCTCCCTGCTGAGGCAATGAAAATAGAACAGAGGGTGGGTTCCAGTTCTTTCTACAGCGAATCAGTGAGATTATGTTTGCTGAAAGCTCTTTGGTAACCAAGGGCTTTAGGAGTAAATGTCAGGTAAGTTCTAGGCCTTTGGAAAAGTACTGTCTGGCTGGGTGGACAGCTGTGGAACATCTGGAGAAAACTGTCTTGGAGTCTTAGGCTGCCCAGGTGCAATTTGTATTTGTGTTTTTGTTTTCTGAGACAGGGTCTTGTAATGTAGTGGGCTCACTTACGTAGCCCAGGTTGACCTTGAACTCAGGGCAATCCTCCTGCCTCAGCCTCCTGGGTGCTGGGATTACAAATGCACACCACCACACCCAGCTTGTGACTTAGATTTGTGCATGGCACTGCCCCATCCTGCAGCCAGGACGCAAGAGGAGAGTTGAGCCTCAGGTTGTGAAGAGGGGCAGGAGCTGAAAACACAAGATGCCCATGAAAAGCCCCCCCCATGGAATGAAAAGGAGGCTCTGAGGCACAGCATGATGGCACACATCGGTAACCTCAGCACTTGGGAAGCAGAGGCAGGAAGATCACTTCATGATTGAGGCCAGCCTAGGCTACACAGTGAGTCAGAGGTAGACTGAACTACATAGCAAAACCCTGTCTCAAAAAAAAAAAAAAAGTTCTAGGAACAGTTGACATGTAAGCCAATTTCATCAAGTCAGGGTAGGATCTGGAAGCCAGAAGAGAATGAGTAATGTAAAATGTTTGTGGGTGGGCTGGGCCTGGTGTTGCACCCTGCTCATCCAGCATTGAGAGGTCAAGGAAGGAAGATCATGAATTTGCAGTCATCCTGAGAAACTTAGCAAGGTCAAGGTCAGCCTGGGATACTTATGGTGACCTTGTCTCACAACAAAAAGGAGGACAAGGGTAGAAGTGATGAAGAATTGCCAGTTCTCCTAAGGGTAAAGGAGAAGTGAAGAAGCAGTTCAAGAAGGTGTTTTGGAAGAATAGACCTGGGCCATTTGTACCAAGCATGTTGGTCCCAACATGAGCAGGCACTAACGGAACCTGGACATGACCTGAGTGCTTAATCCAGACCTGAAGTGGTCCCTGGAGCCCCCATGTGGAGGTGAAGAGGGTTGTCACTGCTGTGGATGGACTGGGGGAGCTCCCAGCCCATCCCAGGCCCAGGCGGGGAGCAAAACCTGCAGCCCCTGCACTCTGTGTGGCCTGGGCCCACCTGGGAAACTGCAGCCTTAGTAACAGGCAGGTGGAGACGGAATGGATACACAAGAGGAAACCTAGCCCTAGCCCTGTTCCTGTGTTTGATCATCAGGGGTGACTGGTGGTCACAGCTTTATCTCAGAAAGATGTCTTCACATAGCGAGCCCTCAAATCTTAGTAGCAATGAAATGGTTAGAAGAGCATCATAATGGCCCTTGGACCAAGGACTTGGGGGAGTTCGTGCCCTCTCCTTTCTCTAGCTTGTCACTGGGTGTGGTGGATTGACAACTTGTGGGCAACTGAGAACATCCAAGAGAACTGAATCAGCATCGTGCAAGGTGCAGGAGGCCCACCTGGGGGTTGTGGCCAGCATAATAAGGAGAACTGGAGAAGAAGAGGTGTTAGGGAGGGGTTGGCTCTCTTGGGGTTGTTGCTTACTCTGGAGGAGTTTGTCATGCTGACTTTCTTCATACGAACTCAGTTGTTATTGTCAGAGACAAACTGAGGTCCTCACTGTTGCTGAGATGACTATGGTTCTTTTCAGGGGAGCTCTGGTTCTTCTTTTGAGTGTTACTTCCTGGCTCTAGTGAGGATCCCTCAGCCTGCTAGTGCAGATCCTTCATCCACTGGCACACACTTCATAACTTACACTACTGACCTTTAAGCCTTCTCAGTGAAGATCTGTGAAACAGGCCTGCATGAAACATTATTGTGGGCTCTAGGTCTCCAGTTAGACTCTCGTGGGGCATTGTTATGGGCTCTAGGTCTTCAGTGGGACTCATGCAGGACACTGTTGTGGGATCCAGGCCCTCAGCTGGATTCTCTGGATCTTCAGTGTGTGGACAGATTTCCTGCACTCCTTTGTACTTGACTCTTTGGGTGGCTACTATAAAATAATCCTATACATTATGTGTCCTGTATTGTTTCCCTTGCAAATCCTGACTATAACTCTGGGACTCTTGCAGAGGAGGAATCTTTGAAGCATTAGAATCACTGATCCCAGGGTGGGCAGGATTGGTTTCCTATGATCCCTCAGGGCTTGTTGGACCACTCTCGGGTGAGCAACATGATGTGTCAACTGCAAGTTTTTGGGTCAGTCAACAAATCAGCTGTCAGGAGCGACCTGTCACTCATCAACTGAGATGGATTTTGACCCTGTGGGTTGCCCCGATCCTCATGAGGGCCTGGACAGGAGATCCACTCACTCAGAGTAGGTTTCCTGGCAAAGGTCTGCTGTTAAGCTCTGATTCCTTCTTTTAACTTTCCCACAGAATTTGGCATCTAGATAGGAGGCAATCCTTTATGTCCAATGCTCAGACAGGGCTTGAGGCATCTGGAAGATGAAGGGTGGCCTATTGTCACTCTGGAGGGACTGTCAGAACCTGATGATCATCTCTTTTTGGAAGGCCTAGGCCACCTGGCTGACCTGTTCTGTCCAGGCGGGAGGAGTGAGTGGATCTTCCTCTCTTTCCTCTGAGTGAGTCGAACTTCTGTCCAGGCCCTGGGTGTATGTGTAGGACCAGGAAAACATTCGTTTGAATCCATGCAGATGTTGACACGCTGGCCCTTGTTTGACTCAGGCTCCTGTGTGAGCTATAAACTCGGCCTTTTGGATAGAAGTCTTGGAGAGAGCCCATTAACCTCAATTATTCTGTCCTCTCCTGTTTCTAGATGCCTCCAGGCTTCTCCCATTGGTCAGCCAAGGGAGGGCCTCATTCTTCACAGGGTTGTCATCTAAATCTACTTGTGAGGTGCAGGTCACCATGCGGTCACCTGTGGTTCACCTAGTCACCATGTCCAATAGGAGGCCCATTGGGCAACAAGGAGGCTGGGTTGAGGGTGAAACAGGACTGGTGGATTACCCCTGGGTTTTTAAGGGGTAATCAGTCAACCCTGGTCAGTTGGTATTCAGTCAACCCTGGTCAGCTACAAGTGACTTCTGGATTTTAAGAGTGTCAACACCAGTGAGTCTACCCCATGGTGAGTTTAGAGGCCTCATCTACCAGCAGACAGTGGTGGCAATGGTCATCAGGCAGCTTGGGCAAGCCTGTGCTGCCCTATCCACCCACTTCTCTGGTGCCAACTTCTGGGTAAGAGTCCTTGGTCAATCCTCATCACACACAGAGTGAAGTCTTGTCAGGCTGGGAATACCCAAGGCTGAAGTCTGAAGTCAAGGATCATGTAAGGTTTGAAGACTTGAGCAATCTTAGATGCCCATTCTGTTGGGTCAGCATCAGAGCTCCAAGTGGCCTTGCACAGAGGTTTTGCTATGACCCCAAAGTGAAGGATCCAGATGTGACCGAATCTGAGGACTCCCATGAGTTTCTGTGGGACTGGGGTGGCTAAGAAATGGCATCTATTCTACGAGAGAAAAGTTTTTGACCCAGGGTGAGGATACAGCCAAGATAAATGACCCAGTATAGGCAGATGGGTTTTCATCTTGGAGACTTATCCAGGAAGTTGAGCATTATCACTTCAGTCTGACTGGACACCACTGTAGTGGGGTGGTAGCTGGGCAGCAAGGCACCAACATACTGGAGGATATCAGGTTAATATTATCCCTTACTTATTTCAGACTTATCAGGACCACAATCTCCCAAATGAGTGGAGAGTGAAGGCTAAATAAAAGAGACAAGTGACATGATTTCAGGGCTCCAGGAAGATCAAAACTCTCCTACAGAATTTGAGATTCTCTTGGATTTAAGACCAAGATCTTCTCTGGTGGGCTGTATTTATCTAGTTATCAAACAAGGGAGAGGAATATTCAAGAAGGGTGAGAACAGATCAAGGACTTCTTCAAGTAAGGCATTGTTAATTTAGGAGAATCATGTTAACTCCAGGAAGATCCTCACCCAAGAGTGAGGTGACTGAGGCTACAGTTTTTATCTAGTTGAGGTTGAAGTCAGGTGTCCTTGGTTATGACCTTGTCTTTTTCTTTGAGGCTTCACAGCTTCATCCACCATGATAGGCCTCAGTAGGGACCAGTGATTCGCAGTTCACTTACTATGGGTCTGAGACCCATCTCCAGACAAGGGGTCTAGGACTTGGACAGACTTACAAGTAAACACAGAAATCTAATTGGTTAATTTGTGGTGCTCAGAGATGGTTTGTAGTGGTCTCCATCAGGAGGACACTTTGCTTTTCCAGGTACAGATCCCAGAGGTCCATGGGTAGGGCCTAGACACAAAGATAGGGGCTGTCCCAGAATCCCTGGGAAAGCTTGGCCCAGGTAAGTCCTTGGTAGAACAGCTTGGTAGGATCCTTCCCTTCAGAGGTGAATGGAAATTGGAGCTCCAGGGCTGGCCAGATAGCTCAGCAGATTAAAGTGCCTGCTTAGGTAGACACAGGGCCCGGGGGTTTGATCCCCAGTCTGACATGATGGTCCTGCCCCCAGGCCTCACTGAGATAGTGATTGAGACTGGGTGAGAATGACAGTGGTGTACCTGTAATCTCAGTGCTTGGAAGACTGAAAAATAGGACAGATCACTAGAAGTCTGATCTGTGTAGTGAGACCCTGTACTAAATACTTTAAAAAAAAAGAAAGAAAAAGATAAAGAAATTGGAGCTCTGATGCAGCGGGGTAGAAAAGCAAGCGTGTTTTAAATCCAGCACTGACAGCCATTGTGTGTCCCCAGTAATCTCAGACAGGAGTGGGGTAGAGCACTTAGCCAAAAGTAGATGGATAGGGTATCTCACGCATAGCTCTCAGTCCCTGGACCACCTGTTATTCTCCTAGTGCTGTCCTTACCAGTAAGATGGGGCAGTTGTAGGGAGACTGGCAGCTGCCTAATGTTCTCTTGACCAAAAGACCTTCTAATATGGGCTGGAGTTCAAGTTTGGCCTCTTTTTTTTTTTTTTCTTTTTATGTATTTAGTATAGGGTTTACAGGGTCTCACTACACAGATTGGACTTGTAGTGATCCTCTTGCTTTCAGCCTCCCAAGTGTAGGGATTACAGGCACACACCACCATGCCCAATCTCAGTCAGTGGCTCAGCACGCCTGAGGGTGGGGCCGGCACGGTATGCCAGGATCAAATCCCTGGTCTCTGCATCTGCCTAAGCAGGCTTTTCAGCCTGTTGAGCTGTCTGGCCAGCCCCTTCTCCTTTTTTTGAGACAGGGTTTTACTATATAATCCAGGCTGGCTTCAAACTGACAGCAATCCTCCTGCCTCAGCCTCCTGAATGCTGGGATTATAGGAATGTGCCACCATGCCTGGCCTTATCTTGTGGTTTGCTATTCACTTTGCATTACTCAAATGAGAAACAATATGGTATTGTGTAGCTGATTTATTTTACTTTGCCTTATGTTTTCCCAGGTGAATCCATTTTCTAACAAACACCTTGAATTTGTCCTTTATAGCAGAGCAGTATTCCATTATGTATAACTATCACATCGTCTTTATTTGTCTGTACATGTTCATCAGAGTACTGTGGGGAAATCTGCCGACAGACCGCCTCCCCCTCCTGTCTCTAAGGACAGAATAACTTGTCCACTTTTTGCAAGGAACTGTCATCCCATTGGGAATCCTCTCCGTGAGGTCGGATGCATGAATAGGACCAGGAGAACATTCTTTTGAATCCGTGCAGATGTTGACACGCTGGCCCTTGTTTGACTCAGGCTCTTGTGTGAGCTATAAACTCGGCCTTTTGGATGGAAGTCTTGGAGGGACTCCATTAGCTTCGATTATTCTGTCCTTCTCTCCTGTTTCTAGATGCTTCCAGGCTGCTCCCATTGGTCAGCCAAGGGAGAGCCTTACCCTTCACGGGGTTGTCATCTCTGCTCGTGAGGTACAGTTCTGGTGGTTCAACTGGTCACTGTGTCCAATGGGAGGCCCACTGGGCAACAAGGAGGCTGGGCTGAGTGTGATATAGGATTGGAGGGTTAACTCTGGGTACTTAGGGTGCCTTGGTACTCAGTCAACCCTGATGAGCTAGAGTGACTTCTGGATGTTAAAGACTGTCAGCAGCTGTGAGTCTACCCATGGTGAGTTTAGAGGCCTCCTCTACCAGCGCCCCTGGGGGTGGCTACTGAAACTGGGCATGGTGGCCCACACCTGCAGTTCCAGCGCTTGGGTGGCTGCAAACAGGAAGATCACTACAAGTCCGATCCATATAGAGAGACACTGTAGACCCTGTCCTAAATACATTACAAAGAAAAACTAACAAACAAAAAACCTGAGAGGAAAAAGAGGAAGAGGAAGAAAATAAAAGATTAATACAAGAAAAGAAAGAGGCCAAACTTGAACTCCGGCCCATAATAGAAGGCCTTCTAGTCAGGAGAACGTCTGGCAGCTGCCCAGTTTCCCTATCCCCTTTTTATTCTATCTATCCATCTTTCTATTACATCTATTTAGTTTTGCAATACTGGGGATTGAATAGGGCCTCCACGCTGGGGTATATCCCCAAGCCTTTTAAAAAATTTGAGACAGCGTCTCACTAAGTCGCCAAATGGCCCAGGAAGGGCTGAAACTTTCATCCTTCAGCGTCAGCCTCCCAGGATACAGGGATTACAGGGGTCCACTACCATGCTCCATCATTCCTTGGTCAGCTGCCCGCTTGGAACAGAAAAGGGCCGCCCCTGCGAGCACACGCACCAAGGTGAGGGGTTCAGGTAGGCCCATGCTCCGTCTTTCCTTCTTTTTGTCTTTTTTTTTTTTTTTTAATTTTTATTTATTTATGTGTGTGTGTGTGACCAGCTCAGCCCATCCCGGGGCGGGGCAGGCTGGCATGTGGTTTTGGGGGATTGAACCGTGGTCCCTGTGCTTTGCTAAGCTTGTTCTAAGTAGGGGCTTTAGACCACTGAGCCATCTCACCAGCCCCCTTTTTGTCTTTTTGAGACAGGGTCTCACTATGCAGTTCAGTCTGGCCTTGAGCTCACTTTGTAGCCCGGCTGATCTTGAACTCGCAACGATCCTCTTGCCTCCCGAGTGCCAGCACTACAGACAAGCGCCACCGCGCCCGGCTTGCATTCAATCTCACGAGTAGCAGGACCTGATCCCTATGCAGCTTGAGCCCGAACCACAAACAGCCAAACCGCGGTCACATCCGGGAAACTGGGAGCCACGCCCACCAGCGCATGCTCTCCTGTGTCGTCATCCCCTCCTTCCCGACACACCCCGCGCGCTTTCACAGGAAGTGTGGTAGGGACCGCTTCCGGGTCAGGCTGCCTTCTCGGGATCTTTGAAATGCGGCGCCCTGCGCGGTAATGAGCGATGCGCTGGGTGCTACCGCTGGCCCGTAGAGTTTGCCTGGGTGCTGGGCGTCTCAGCCACGGCTGCTGCAGGCTAGGGATGTTCTATGCGGTGCGGAGGGGCCGTAAGACCGGGGTCTTCTCGACTTGGTGAGTAGCCGCCGCACCCTTGGGTCCTGGCGCGGCGGGTCACCGCCTGGAGCCGCAGACCCCACCGTCCTATTTTTCTAGTAGCGTTTGGCGCACCAGAAAGGCCACTGTGGTTTGGGAGCGAGTTCTTTGTTGTGACTGAGGAAGTCCCGAAGGTAGCGCACAGCTGGGCGTGGTGGTGCACCAGGTAGCCCAGCCCCGGGCAGGTGGAGCAGGCCGGTCGCCTGGAGTTGAGGTCGGCCCGGGCTGCATAACGAGACGCAGACCAGCCGCACAAGGAACACCGCCAGCACCGGGAAGCACTGCCAGGTTTCCATGCAGCTGGACTGGAAGTAGAGCTCAGCTGGTACCCGCTCTTGTTTTTAGTGGGAGTGTGTTTGTAAAGAAACGGGTGAGCTCACGTTCGCGGTTGGATATCTATAACACCCGCCCTGCGACGCTACGCCCACGGGATTATCTTCACGTTCAGGTTTTTAGGTGGAAATTCATAGGCAAGTGAGCGGCAAAGGTCGGATTTGAGCCCGGATGCTATGACTCGGCGCCCAGAATTTTCTCCTTATGCCGGGGTTTATTTTCTGAGTCCACGTTGTTTCCCAGCGCCGCCCAAATATGCTGCTGAGAAATAGCACCTCAGATGTTGACTCTTCTGCTGTGATAAAATGATTCTTCTGTTCTTTTTTCTAAGACCCAGATTTTTACGTGCCCTTAGTTTGTGGGAAACCGTAAGGCACTGATGTGCCGTCCAGCTGGTTATACCAGCACAGGAGTTGCAGAATCTGACCTATAAGAGAAAACTGTGAATTGCACAGTGTGCACCTTTGCCACGAGGAACGGACAATGCATCTTTTTGTGCTGCTCCTAACCTAACCTAACCTAAGACAGGACTTTTAACCAGACCTTTTATGCCTTGTTTTTGGAGGTAAACCGAAGAGGGAGAGAGGTAAGAAATGCTGGCTTTTTCCAGGAATGAGTGCAAAGCACAGGTGGACCGGTTTCCTGCCGCCAGATTTAAGAAGTTTGCCAGCGAAGATGAGGCCTGGGCTTTTGTCAGGAGGGCTTCGAGCCCAGATGGCTCAGAAGGTACTTACCTCTTGTATCAGTGTGACATTTTACCCCTTCCTGCTTCTCCTATCCTAGTGTTCTTGGACAGTTTTTCCATTCAAGATTAAAGAATATAAAGTGAATTAGTGAAAGTGTTAGAGACATGGACCAAGGACCCAGGTGTCCTGTCCCATTCAATGTGTGTAGGTCACTAGTTCTTGTCTTTCTTTTCTTTGGTATCTGGGATTGAAATGAGGACCTTGCGCTTGGCAGGCAGGCGCTTATGCCGCTGAGCTATATCCTTGGTTCTTCATTTCTTTTTGTCTGTCTGTCTCTGTTTCTGTCTCTCTGTCCCTGTCTCTTTGTCTCTGTCTCTGTCTCAGTGTCTGTCTCTCTCTTATGTATTTGGTACAGGGTCTCTCTAGGCTCTTGGACTCGAGCTGTTTTCAGCCTCCCCAGTGCTGGGATTGCAGGTGTGCGTGACCATGTCCTGCTTGTGCACTGTTTCTGACTCTAGTGCAAACACTTGCTTTTCAGAGCAGAATGATGCAGGGGAATCACAGGTGAAGGCCAGCAAGCGGCCCCGGGAGCCTCTGGATGACAGTGAAGATGCAAGCACAGAGCCGAGCATCAAGCTTGCGAGACAGAGCACAGAGCCAGCCCCTCTCATTAGCAAAGACATGTTTTCTTACATGGGTATGTCTTAGCTAAAATCAGAAATATACACATAACAATCATCCCCAGGAATGGTTATGCACTGCTATAATCCTGGAACTCAGGAGGCTGAGGCAGGCAGATCATGACCAAGTTCAAGGCCAGCCTGGAATACTTGGGGAGACTCTTGTCTCAAAAAAGCAGGAAGAAAAACAAAACAAAACAAAAAAAACCTTCTGCCTTGGGGCCTTCCCCTTAGCTCAGTTCTTTAAGTTGGCTGCTTCAACAAAGCAGTCAGGCTCAGGTTGCTGTGGTTCCATCCTGACAACTCAAGCCAGCCAAACCTGCCCTGAAGGCATTCGAAGCAAAACAACAACAACAACAACAACAACAACAGAAAACAAAAACCTTCAAAAAAGCAGGAAGGGTGGGGAGGGCTGGGGCTGTAACTCTGTGCACAGGCCCTGGGTGTCGATCCCAAGTGCCAGTAAACCTCACTGTAAAAGGGAGAAATCAAGCTGATATCTGTCCTCGTTCATTGTCATAAGTTTTGTTTAGAAATCTGCAGCATCACTGTAACTGTTAAGAATTGTTAAACTTTTGGATATTCTTAGGAAAATTGTTTTGTAGAGTATATACGAACATCATCACAATATTTTATAAACAATACAAACAGGACTTCAGGGTGTCATGTAGCTAGCTGCTAGTGGCCCACTGAGGCTGGATTCCACCACACTGTTCCCTCCGAGAATTGAGAATCTTGAGCTTTTCCACTTTTAGCTTCAGGATGGGTTGTGTTGTATGTATTTGGTGACTTGTGTAAGTCTCCTTTTTGTCTTTTCCATATAGGAATAGAAAATAGAACATGTTAGGGGGTGGGGAGATAGTTCAATAGAATAAGTGCTTGCCTGCCAAGTGCAAGGGCCTGAGTTTAATCCCTGGCTTCCACAAAAAAAAAAAAAAAAAAAAAGAACATTTTTTCATAGAAATCAATGTGTTTCTGTATGCAGGGTTTTTCCTAAGAAAAAGCCATTTGGTCATTTTGAGGGAAACCAGTAGGAAATGTTTCGTCCGGCTGTGTTTACAGATCAGCTCTTCAGTGACTTCAGACAGAACCTTGCCTTGGTTCCTTGTGTCAAGCACCTAGGCCACTAAGGATGGGCCAGGCCCTCTCTAGTTGGCCAGCTACATGGAGAAAGGTAGCAGTGCCGTCCTCTGGCCCCTCCAGGGCAGGGCTCAAGCTCCAGTTCTCACCGAGCAGTTCCGAGGGCAGGTGTGCCAGCTGAGGAGCAGAGTGTTTTCCTAGGGAGAGCACTGTGGCTCTGTAAAGCTACCTGTGTCACCGCATTAGAGGTGCATTTGACTTCCAGTGGGTTGGCCCCATGGCACCACTGTTCCCTTCACAGGAGACTCTGTCGTTGTCTACACCGATGGCTGCTGCTCCAGTAATGGGCGGAGGAGGGCCCGAGCAGGAATCGGCGTTTACTGGGGGCCAGGCCACCCTCTGTAAGTGAACTGAGAAAGTGGAGGTATTAAGCATGGGGTTCTTACCAAATCCTATTCCAGAGTGCATGAAAAGATGAGGCAGGGTCATCCTGGTGGATTGGCCTTGCTGTTGACTGCTGGGCGGGGAACCTGGCTGGTAGCACTGGCAGGCCGCTGGGGCAGTAGAGCTTCTATCCGTCAGGTGGATGCTGAACAGCCTTGACCTTAGCTGAGACACAAGCTGGTGACCCTGCTCTCTTGGCCAACTCAGAGGAGTCCCTGTCCACTGATGAGCTTCCCACAGAATGGCCTCACTGCCTGTAGCTTAAGCATCTTGTGGCACGGGAAGGGCCTTGAGGCTCCCCAGGTGTGGCCTGGAGTAGAGCCTGTTAGGTCACTTCTCTGCTGAGGATGCGTTTGCCCAGAGGTGGTGAGGCAGTGTGAGGTGAGGTGTGGTCACTGTACCCCAGCCATGGGGGTTAAGACTCAAAGGGTAGCCGAAAACCCCACAATTCATGCAAGAGTGGGATGTGACCCTGGGAAAGTTGCCCCGCACCACTTGTGACCCTTGGTTTCTCTTGGTTCCGGTGCCCACAGGAACTGTGCCATAGGTGTGTAGGGTAAATACCACTGTCCACGTCTCTTGTGCTTTACAGTTTTTTCTCACCATCTCATGTGAGCTGCAGACCGTGGCAGGAGAGCACCAGCCTGGCACCAGTGCCCAGGACTTGTGCCAGCCTGAGACACAGGCTAGCGCCTTCAGGTCTGGAGGTTCAGTGCAGCTTTTGGCTTGTGGCCCAGCCGCGTTGTGTTTGCGATGCTGGCTGGGGTGTCTTGTCCCAGAGCATTAGTGTGGTCACTTTGACTTTGAGAGACTGTGTTTTTGCCTGAAGCTTTTGTATTTCAAATAACAGTACACTATTTTGTTGTCTCCGCTGATGGGGATTTCTTCAAGGCTTAGCTTTATAATTTTCTTTTCTTTTGTATTATTTTGAAACAGAAATGTAGGCATTAGACTTCCTGGGCGACAGACCAACCAGAGAGCAGAAATCCATGTAAGTTATCTGATGATGTGTGTTTATTCTTCTTCATATTGACCATGAATACTTTAGCCTTTTTCCCCCACTTATCTTACTATCCATATATTTAAGAGATACTCAAAAGTCCTAAAGAAAATTTGGGTTAGCAGAAATTCTGTAAGATGCGAATTTACTTGAAAAAAATCTAAAATCTACATCCGTCTATCCATCCAATTTTACAAAAGCAAAAAAAAAAAAAAAAAAAAATAATCTAAAACCTTATTTGAAGTAGGTGACCACAGGAGCGTTGCGTGTTTAACACTGCAGAGGACATAGTGATTTGGGGCAGGCAGGGCTATTTGGGCTTTGAAGGCGTCACGAGCGTGGGAAGCCTGGATTGAGCTGCTCGTGTGGCCTGACCAGGCTTTGTTTCTCAAGGCAGCATGCAAAGCCATAGAACAAGCCAAGGTGCAGAACATCAGCAAGCTGGTGCTGTACACTGACAGCATGTTCACCATCAACGGTGAGGGCCTGCCTGTTATCACTCGGGAGTGGCCAGTTCTGGGGGAGGCACAGTGGCAGGCACAGAGTCACAGAGATGTTGGGGGATGGGGGACCTGAGAGGCCAGGAGGACTTGGGAGCACTTGAGTGACCTAGGATCATGGCCCACCGGGAGGGGCTGTGTGCAGCAGCCGGTGGGGGATAGTTAGAGGCAGGAGCAGTGACACTGCAGCTGGGGGTGCAGAGAAGGGGTGGGGTGCTGCTGGCAAGGCCACAGAGGCCACGAAGGAAGTGAGGTGTCCAGGCTGCCAGCCCAGACTCAGCCACAAGGATGAGTTGTGATGTGTGTCCAGGGATCACCAGCTGGGTTCCGGGCTGGAAGAAGAATGGGTGGAAGACGAGCACGGGAAAGGAGGTGATCAACAAGGAGGACTTCGTGCGGCTGGAAAGGCTCGTGCAGGGCATGGACATCCAGTGGGTGAGTGGGCATGCTGGGCATGTTCGAGGTTGTGTCATGGAGTGCACCAAACATGCTTAATTCTCTTAGCCCCATGGGTAATATTTGTCTTTTGTTTTTTGTTACAGAATTAAGCGATTGACCCTAGGGACACGATCACTTAGTGATATCCCAAGCCCTTTTTTTTCTTTATATTTTGTTTGCACAGGGTCTCACTGCATAGTGCAGGGTGGCCTTGAACTCACCATATATCTCGTTGGCCTCGAGCTCACCAGTCCTCTTGCTTCGGCCTCCTGAGTAGCTGGGTCACAGGTGTGCGTGCCAAGTGCAGCACATCCATGTTTTTTCTGTCTGTTTGTGCTGGCCCAGTCACTGTCAGTGGGGAGCAGGACTGTAAGGGCTGGCGTCTGAGTGATAGAGAAGCTCTGCTGGGGTGTGGGTGACAACACTGCACGATGCACCCAACGCCTGCTGTGTGTTCCTGTGCGTGCTCAGCCTGTGCCGGGTACAGTGAGTCTGGTGTGCACTGTCTGCAGAAACCTCAGGCAGGTAACTGCAAATGTTTGTCTTAACAGATGCACATTCCCGGGCACTCAGGATTCCTGGGCAATGAGGAGGCAGACAGGCTGGCCAGAGAAGGCGCCAGGCAGTCTGAGGAGCAAGGAGAGTTGCTGAGCACCCAGGACGCATGAGCCAGGCTGTGGTGACCTTTATTCCTGGTGTGCACCATAGGCCCCCTGGCTGCTGCAAGTAGACAGATGCAGCCTCCCACCAAGACCAAGGCCACTGACATTCTGTGACATGGCTGGACTCACGCACTCAGGAAGCAGTGAAGGAGCTGGAGATTTGCAGATTCTGTGAAGTATTGGTTCTGTGCTTATTAAATAAGCTTGATACTGTTCTCTTTTGTTTTATTGCAGTCTGGCCTGAAATGCTTGGGCTTTGATTTTTATTTTATTTCTTTATTTTTTGCAGAACTGGGGATTGAACTCAGGCCCTTGTGCCTACCAGGCAAGCGCTTATTCTACTGAGCTATCTCCCTAACCCGGGCTTTGATTTAAATAAGGACTCATAAAAGTAAAACATTTGAGTAAGACATGGTGTACCGCATGTAATCCCATCACTCTGGGAGGCTGAGGCAGAAGGATCACAAGTTTGCACTCAGCCTGGGCAATTTAGAAGACCTTGTCTCCAAAACAGAAGTGTAAATGAGAGAAGGGACAAAGTCAGGGAAGTAGCTCCATGCAAAGGCCCTGGGTTTAATCCCAAGTACGGCTGGGGGTTTTGGGGCACACCTACAGTGTAATTCCTGAATGAGTGAGGCCAGCCTGAGCTATGTAGTGAGGCCGTCTCAAAACCCAAAATAAATACTGTGAAAAGACAGATCTGGAAGCACTTGAAGAGTGGGTGCCTTTGCCTTCCTAGTTGCAGCGCCAGGCAACCTGATGGCTGGACTGAGGCTGCAGCAGTGGGTCAGGGGGGGCCACAACTGCTAAAACCCAGGGGCATACTTATATCAATTTAGTTTTTCTTTGGCTTTTTCTCTTAATGTGTGAACTTAAAACCATTGTTGGATATAATTATTTTTATATGTTTTTGCATAAATTCAAAGCGAGAAGATAACATGTAGCTCTGTGGCTGAGTGCCCTTCCATCTCCCATCAGGACCGCCCTGCTCCACATAGGGCCCTCTGACATTGCCTGCCTTTCTCCCTGACTAGAGCAGGAAGCACTTCTGGGGCTTCAGGTCTGCCTTTTCTCTTGCTGGCATGGTTTGTGTCTTGCTCTCCCTCTTTGCCGCCCACTTTGGTCTTGTCTTCACAGCGTGTTCCCTGAAAGACTTGGAGTCTTTTGTTTTTCCAGAATCTAGACTTGGCTACCTGTTATCACACAAATGGGGTCAGTGAACTGGAAAATGCGACCAGAGGATGGCATCCCCTACCCCAAACACTGTGTAAACCCAGTCTGCTCAAGATGACTTTTTAAGGGCCAACCAGGGAACCTCCCCCCCCCCCCATGGGGTTTACAGGCAGGGAAGGATATAGGGCCAGGAGATGGAGTCACCCAAGGAGGGGTGATGTCCCTCCTGCTGTAGGCAGGCTTGACTCAGAAGGGTACTCTAACACAGCTGTGCTAGTTTCCCAGTGATGTATGCGTGTTGTCCCAGCACAGGAGGCTGAGGCAGGAGGTATGTACACAACACAGTTTGGGCTTCAGCTGGGCTGGTCCTGCAGGGATTGCCCCAAGGATGCTGCTGCTGAGCCAGGGAAATAGACTAAATGCCTGCTTAGGCAAGCACAGGGTCCTGGGTTTTCTCCCCAGCACCACACACCCCAGCCCCACCCCGGGGGTGTGCTGGGCCACTGATGGGCATGGTGATGCACGCCTTTAATCCCGGTGCTGAGGAGGCTGAAAACAGGAGGATCACTGTAAGTCTGAGCTGTACCAAATACATTTTTAAAAAGGGGGGATGGAGGGGGGAGATCAGATGAGTGGATTAAAGACCCTACTTAGGCAGACACACGGGCCAGGAGCTCTATTCTTGTCCTGTCCTGCCGGCCCCACCCCCAGGGCACACTGAGAGGATTGAGATGGGGTGTGGTGGTGTGTGCCTGTAATCTCAGTGCTGGGAAGGCTGAAAGGAAGGATCACTATGAGTCCAATCTGTGTAGTGAGACCCTGTAATTAATACATAAAAATAAATAGGGGCGGGGCCGGGGAGATGGCTCAGTAGAACAAGCGTTCCCCTGGCAAGTGCAAGGGCCCGAGTTCAATCCCCGGTTCTGCAAAAAAATAAAAAAATAAATAGGGGCTGGGGAGATAGCTCAGTAGGATAGCACTTGCCTGGCAAGTGCAAGGGCCTGAGTTCAATCCCCGGTTCCGCCAAAAAAAAAAATTAAAATAAAAAATAAAAAAGGATGCTGTTCCTGGTTGCAGAATCTCAGGCTGGTGCAGATTCCCTCTGGTTCGGTGTGCGGGGCGGGGCCGGTTTGGCCGGGAAGCCCTTCCCAGTGCCTGGAAGCTCCGCCCCAGCCCTACGCCTGCTGGTTCCAGGGAAGTCCCGCCCACAGGGTCCTTCCACCGGCCCCTGCCTTCGTACTTGCCCTGTCTTGGGCGCAAACGGTGTGCTGCCCGCCCCACTTGCAGCCTAGACGCCACGATGGTACAGGCCTGGTACATGGATGAGTCCACAGACGACCCGCGGCTGCCGCACCGCCTCAACCCTGACTGCCCAGTGAGCCTGGAGCAGCTGCGCAAACTCGGCGTGCTTTACTGGAAGGTGCGCGAGGCGGCGCGGCGGGCGGGCTTCTGCCGCTGGGCTGGGCTGTGGCGCATGCTCTCTACGGGGCTGAGCCTGGCATCCGGGTGGTCTGACAGAGGATAGCGTTGCGCGTGCTCTGCATGGAGTGACAGTCGGGTGCTGGGCTGATGCGTCCCGGCTGCTCAGCGCATGCTCAGGCCTGGGTGGGGGCTAAAGAGGCCACAGTGGAGGTGTCTGGGTCCTCCGTTAGCTGTATGTTCCTCGCTTAGAATGAAATTCAGGCTCAGCCTACCCTGGAACCAGCATTTCCTTGTAGCACTGGGGAGGGAACTGAGTCAGCCCCAGACTTATTTAATCTTGAGACAGGGCCTCTATAAATTACCGAATTGCCCAGCCGGAGCTCCAGCTTGCAATCCTGCCTCAGCCTCCCTAGTGCTGCGATTAGAGGCGTATGCCATCAGGCCAGGCTGGGAACCTGCTTTTGGACTCTGACCCGTGACGCTGCGATTACATGCCTGTGCCACCACGGCTCAGGGCCTGTGCCACCATGGCTCAGGTGTCTCAGATCGGCATCTTTAGTGACTGTGCCGTTCAAGTGACCTGCATTCCACAGGTCTGCTTTGCCCTCTGCAGGGGTTCACAGGGTGCTGGACAACAACTTTTCCCAACAGCTAGACCTGGTGATCAGGAAGGGACATTTGTGGGACAGAGGGGAAAGGTATGGACAAGTGTGACGCGAAGGTGGAGTATTTGTCCTGATAGCGAAAGGTCATCCAGCTGAGGCCTGGCTTCCCAGCACTCAGGAGGCTGACTGAAGCAGGACCACGGCTGCGAGTTCAGGCCCACCCTGGGCTACATAGGGAGTTGAAGGCCAGCCTGTACTGCACGGGGAGACCCTGTCTGAAAAAAAAAAACCAACCAACAGTAGAAGGTCACCCTTTGCATCCTGTGTCAGTCCCAGGGAGGACTGCTGTGGGAGACTGGAATAGTTCAGGGGTAGCACCTCTGCAGCCAGCAGTGCAGGGGATGGAACCCAGGGCCGTGTGCTGGTTGGGCAAGCGCTGTGCCCTGAGCCCCATCGCCAGCGCCTGTGGCCTTGGTGCTTTTATGCTTAGCTCTTCTGTATCTTTCTCACTCTGCCCCGTGATGTCAAGGGACCAAAGTTACACAAATTAAAGCTGTAATTGGCTTTTCCGAGATTTATGAATTAGAGTCATCTCCATGCTGTCAAATACAGTTGGGCTTCTTTCTCTGAGAGTTCAGCGTCATGCATAGAACCAGTTGCTGATGGAAAATATTGAAAAGTCACATCCGTCCTGAACATGTCCAGCCAGCTTTCTTCCCTAAAGAATGCAGTGTAGCCACTCACATGCCAGTGTGCTAGGTATTACATAGTTCTCTAAGATGGTTGCAAGTAGACAAGAGGATCTGTGAATGTTGGAAGCAAGCGCCCATAGATTCCTGGGTGTGCGCAGATGCATGTGTGTAGGTGTCCTGCCATCAGTCCCACGAGATATGAAAGCTCCTACAGGTGTTGGCAGCAGAGTGGGTTTTGTAATTTGAGAACAAGGAAAATAGGGAAGGGGGGGCTGATGAGTTAGTGTCAGTTTACTTCAGATTATTTGTTAGTGTTAAGGTGGGAGGCTCAGGATGACTGGACTTTCCGGTTTTTAGGCAAAATGAGTGTTTTGGGATCTGTCTGCTTCTCTCAAGTTTCGTTTTGATTCTGTGGGACTTAGGGCAAGAGGCTCTGTGCCGTTTCAGGTGACGAGCTCAGTCCCAAATGCTATCCCTTCTCATTTTGTTTAACAGTAGGTGCACATAAGGAGCAATTTTGCTCACTTGGTTGTTCGTTCACTCATTCTTTTCTGTCTTTCTTTCCTTTTTTCTTTTTTCCTGCCTCAGGTTTATTTGTACAAAGAGCATAGGAGGACAGGTGGCACCCCAGGGGTCACACCAGTCCTTCTGTTTTTACATCAGCAGATAAGAGGCTTTTACTCTGGAGCCTTCATGGGGCCCTGGGCACCTTTGGAGACCTGGGCTGGAGCAGAAGCTGGAGCCTGGGGCTTGGCTGGAGCCGGGGCCTTTGGTCAGCAAGGCCTGTAACCCTTGGCAATGTGGGTATAGATATGCTTCCCAAGCTTGGGGCAGGCAGTATAGGCAAGTCGAGTGAGGCTGCAGTTTACTCCCTTTGGAATGATCTTGGGCTTGACGAGGGCCTTGATGGCCTCAGCACGTGCATTCATGGCCTTGGCATTGTTTGCTTGCATCTTCTTGAAGCCTTTCTTGTGCTTCTTGGCAAAATGCATGTTCCTAAGGTACTTGGGATCTACCCCCTTCAGAGATTCATATCTTTGTGACTGAGGTTTCTTGAT